GGGTGAGGGGACCTTCCCTGTCACTCCAGTCCTCCACTGCAGAAGACGCTGTCTCTGAGAAAGGTCAATCCCTGATTCCCTAGGGGAGCACTGTAGCTTCTTGGGTCAGAGGAGGAGCAGGAAGAGGTGGAGGGTGAATTCTGGCAGGAAACAGTGTTACCTTAAAGGAGAAAGGCTTCTGAGAGCTGACACTGAGTTAACTTGTCTAATTATCCAGTTTAGCAGTTCCCTCCCCTACACCTGTGGAAACTGATACAAATGACAACACAAGGGTGGAGAAACAGTATCACCAAGGAGGAAAAACTAAGAGCAAAATACCTTCAAAAGACAAACACACAAAAAGCAAAAAGAAAGAGAGGAAGCAAAAGGAAAAGAAAGAGAGAGAGAGAGAAAGAAAAAAGGAAGGAAGGAAGGAGGAAAGAAAGGAAGATAGAAAGAAAGGAAGGAAAAAGGAAGAAAGGATGAAGAAAGAAGAAGGAAAGAGAAATGAAGGAAGAAAGGAAAGAAAGAAAGGAAGAAAAAAGGAAAGAAAGGAAGAAAGGAGGAAGAAAGAAAGAAAGGAAGGAAGGGAGGAAGAAAGGAAGGAAGAAAGAAAGAAAGAAGGAAGGAAGAAACAAAGAAAGGAAGAAAGGGAGGAAGGAATAAAGAAAGAAAGGAAGAATGGAAGAGAGAAAGGAAGGAAGAAAGAAAGAAGGAAGGAGGAAGGAAGGAAGACAGAAAGGAAGGAAGAAAGAAAGAAAGAAGTTCTAGTATTTAGCGTTTGTCAACCTGTAAGTGCTCCTGCGACCATTTTAGGAAGAGATAGAATCGGGGTGTGGAAGGGACTCAACCCCTCCCCCTCACACACAGGCATCTGGGAGAATGTACTGTTTGGAAAGAACTAGAAACTGGGGGAACCGGCCTAGGGTAGGGGAGTCCATGTCTCCCACCAGGTATAGCAGACTTCCGGTCCTGAAGTGCAAGGCTGACACACTCAGCAGGACAGGAGTCCGTTCCACAGACAGTGGGTGTGGGCAGAGAACCCGGACTGGGAGAGGCCATAGCTGACAGCGGGCTGCAGACTGAAGGGTCCCTGTTGTCATGTGGGGACCCTGTCTCCTCCCCTGGAGACAGAGTTGGAACTGTCAGGGAGAAGGTGAGCCCTGGAGTCAGTGCAGTCACCGCGATGGGGGTTCAGGAGACCCAGGGACCCGGTTCCCTCAGAGACAGGGGCGTGACCCAGCTGAGGGTTCTCCTTCCTCAGGCCTGAGCCCAGCCCGAGGGAGAGGCGGAGATGCCCGCGGCCTGCACCTGTGCGCAGCAGCGTGTCCTTCCCGAGCTCCAGGTATCTGCGGAGCCACATCACGCACTCGCCCTCCAGGTAAGCCTTGTCTCTCTCTGCAGTACCAGCCTCCTCCCACTTGCGCTTGGTGATCTGCGCCGCCGTGTCCGCCGCCGTCCACGACCTCAAGTCCTCGTTCAGGGCGATGTAATCTTTGCCGTCATAGGCGAACTGAAGGTCCCCGCGGAGGAGGCGCCCGTCGGGTCCCACGTGACAGCCGTACATATGCTGGAAGGTGTGAGAGCCTGCGGGACCCCGCGGTCAGCCCCGCCCACTTCCCCACGTGACCACTCGCGGCCCCGCCCACCCGCGGACTCTTCAGAACCGAAAGGGAAACCGGTCCCGGGTCGCGCGTCTCCTCCCGAACCTCGGACTTGGGACCCGGGACGTCTCTGGCCGCGTGTCGGGACGTGCAGGGGTCGTGACCTGTGACCCGGGGTCACTCACCGCCCTCGCTCTGGTTGTAGTAGCCGAGCGCGGTCCTCAGGTTCCCTCGGTAAATCTGCTCGTTGCTCTTGGCGATCCGTGTGTTCCTC